CAGTTCTGATGCAGTGCAAGCTCTCTGACTTACTGTTGTCACCTCTCCCCTACCACACCGAGTCTGCTTCCCCTGAGAATGTGATAATTCCAAGATGGCCGTGGGAAAACGTCTTGAAACTTCCTGAGCCTGTCTTGAAACTTCCTGAGCCGCTGATTCTTCGTGTGAAAAATGGAGATAATAATAGTGCATTTTTAGAGGAATGGCTGTGAGCATTAATGAGGTCAAAATAAAGTGCTCAGTGGGCATCTGGTTCATAGTGAACTTTCAACAAATTGTAACTGTTACTGTTTTTTCCCCAAGTAAATCACAACTATTATTGCTGTTGGTATTATTACTAATAGCAGCAGCAACTGAAGGCAAGTCTCACCCGCATCCATGCCCAGCCCACGGTCTAGAAAAACTAGTTCTTTTTGAGGTTTCTCCCTCTTGGATTCACCCAGGGAAGGATTCCACGAAAGGACTAGTTCTGGAGCCGGAAACTTGCACGGTGCCGGTAGCTCAGATCATGAGGGGACACGCAGCAGAAACAAATGAAAACCCATCTGGTTTGGGTACATTTTCCGAATTTCAGTTTGGGAATTGCCGTCAAGAAGTTTTATGTTATCTTCAGATTTATGAAGTGCGCTGTTTATTTATTATTATTTTTTAAGGGCCGTGTGCCTATCTCGGAGCCCCGAGGGCACAATGGTTACATATTGGGTTGCTGACTGGAGGGCCAGCAGTTCAAGCACACCAGATGCTCCTCTGGTGAAAGCTGAGGCTTTCCGTCCCCCCAGAAGGAAACCCACAGAGGCAGGTGGACATTGGTTTTCTTCGTCGGTGACAGCCTTTCTAGTCACATTCGCTATGAATTTGGCCTTCGTGTCTTATAAACCTGCTCTGAGTACCCATTTCTAGAATAATCATCAGAATAATAACTAATATAGAAAATTACTAAGGGTGCTACAAGCTAGTCCAAAGTGGATGTATATCTGGCTTGCTGTCACTCTAATGAATAAAGTATTGAAGCCGGAGCAAAGCTATCCTCTCTCCCTATTTTTACCTCATTCCACCCACCCCCTTCGCCATCCTGGTGTTCAGAAGAGTGTCAGGAATTGCTCATTGGTAACTGCCAGTTTTCTCTTCCTGCTAGTAAAGTGTAGGTACAAATGTTTTTATTCTACATCACTCCATTTTCCTTAACTGTCTGCTGTGGGCTCTCATGCACTCACTGGCCGAAGGACCGAAGTGACTGGGCCTTCCTGGACTGCCTCATTTAAAGGCCTCGGGGTGTCTCAAAGGTCCCCCTCCCAGGGCAGTTCACTACGTCACAGTGAAGAATGGTTTCAACTAAATTTTCCCATTTGTCAGATTTTACATGTTTTAAATGACGGTAACACTTGTCCTATTTTATAGCTTGTATGAAAGCGTGACAGTTCGCTGACAGATAGCAACGCTGCTGCCTTGGTCGTTGGTGTTGCTCCTTGGTTGAGAATGTTATTGTGTCGCTGCGGAAAAAATATAGCGGAGACTGCTACAGGCGAGTTACTTTTTAAAGGCAAATGAAAGAATGAAAATTCCTCTCTGACAGCTTTTAAAACAAAGAACTTTTAACTGCATGGAGTCCACAATTCAGCTCCTGCAAGGCAGGCTATTATTTTGAAGAGTGGTTTGCTCTTGATGGGTTATGGCCAAGAGGAAGTTTTGGTTGCGGGTAGGGTGCTGCTCTAACACGGGCTATTTGATACTGGCTGTTGTTGTTCGACTTTCTGGGTAACAGCCCCCTAAAGAATGCAACTGCACCATAAAGAAAGGGTACAATGTTAATGTTTCATTGAAGCACATTGGGAATGTCTCTTTTGAAGGGGGAACGCAGCTTAAGGAACTGGCTTTTTCTAAAGAACAAAATGAGGCTCAGCTCTCACGACAGAGATTTGGCAGCTCCTGTGCTTTCTTTCCAAGAGGAAAATACCATTGATAACTGCTCCAGTCCTTAAAGACCGGAGAAAACCGACAGCTTTACAGAAATGATAGAGCGTCGAGCAGAACTATTCTTTATTCATTAACCCTACGAAGCAAAACACTAGAAATAAGCATGAAGAAAAGTACCTATTTTCCTGATCACCCAACATGTCGATTATTCCTCTGCTGTTGAGGGTCAAATATTCTGTCACCAAAACCAATTTTTACAAATAAGGGCAAAGAAATCGTGAAGAATGAGAGGGAAGAAGGGTGCTGGAGTCTAATACGTCCCCCACCAGCATTTCCGGGCTCTTTATATTGCCATTAGTGTTTCTCCTGACAAGCATTCTGCCTCACTCATGCAATATATTACCCCGAGAATTGTTTTCATTTAACTCTCCCTTGTCTCAGTTTCTTTATTCTTTAAATGATGATAATGCTTGTTCTGTTTCCTAGTGAAGGCGTTAGGATTAATAGGGTATTATAGGTAAAGATGTTTTGAACTCCCAAGAAAGGTAAAATACAAGAGTATTCATATTGTCATCATTATATCACGAAAGATACTCTGTACTTTCCTCTTATTGCTCTTTAGCTTCCCAATGGCTAGCCAGAATAGGGACTTAATGTTGGATGTAAAAATAATCGAGCTGCAAAAGAACGGGAAGATTGTCTAATGCAGCTTTTTCTTTTATACCGAATCGGATCGTGGGGCTTAAAGATATCGAAGGACTCTTTTGGGTTGCCATATTTCGTGCTCAGTTTCCCTAACTATGATTGATTCTCAGACTTCATCGTCGGTTTCTTTCTTTTAATGATTCTTTTCCTAGTGGCTTGAAAAGCAATCTGTATTTTGCAGATCCTCATGTTGTCGCCCCTCTCGGCTTTGTGTGTTCTTCCATATTGTACTTCTATTTGTTCCCAAATCTTTCACAAACAAATGACTATATTAATTTCCTAGGGCAGCTGCAACAAAGGCCCACAGACCTGATGGCTTCAGACAATAGGAACGTGCTCTTCCCACTTGTGGAGGCTGAAAGTCTAACATAACGGTGCTGCCGTAACAGGTGCACTCCAAAGGCTTTAGGAAAGGCCGGTCCTAGCCAGTCCTAGCTTCTGGCAGTTGCCACAATACGTGGTGATCCGTGGCTTGTAGCTGCACCCCCTAATCTCTGCCGGTCAGCACTTGGCCTTCTTCCCTGTTGTGTTTCCTGTCTACAGAGCTCCCTCTCCTTATAAAGATACCAGGCATTGCGTTGAAGGCTGCCCTAATCCGGTATTTCCTTATCTTAACTGGATTACATCGACAAAGATCCTATTTCCAAATAAGGTGACATTCATAGGTACCAGGGGTCAGGAATTTAATATGTCTTTTTGGGTGACACAGTTCAACCCACAATGATTGCCTGCATTTACACGAAATCAACATAAGCAAAATCAACTTTGCCACCATTTTCCAAAACGGACTAGTCTTCTACTTACAGTAACGCAGTACTCTTGTCAACCTTAACGTTTTCTAGGTTACCGGTAAAAAAACACAACAAAACAGAACAAAAACCCTGGAAATTCCTTTGCCTGGCTTCCCTTCTAGATGAGTTTTATTACCTAGTTCTTCTTCTTCTTCTTCCTTTGTCCATCAACTTCTTTTTCTGTGCATTGCCATTGCATCTTTCCTGGGCCAGGCTTCCAACACCAAGTTAGTCTCATCTTTATCAACCATTGAGCTCATTCCACCTCCAGCTGCCCGACAGCAGAGAGGAGGGCCCTATTGTCCCTTTACGATTAAGGGGAAATGCTTCAGATTTGAGACTTTCAATCATTCTTGGAGCAGCTAGTCAGTCCTCCTTAATTATAGAGTGGTGCCAATAGTTAGGGGCTTGATTACTAAATGAAAATTCAACCGTTTGAACTTACCCAATTGCACCTCAGCAGAAAGACTTGGTATTCTGCACCTGGGGTCACCATGAGTTACAATTGACCCATACATGCTTCATTCACAAAGCATGAGCCAAAGGCCATGGGGATTAGCGCCAGTTGCAAGCTTGGTAGAACTAAGTAATCTTGCCCCATCTCAGACCTGATTCTGAATCAGAATCCATATTGTAACAAGATCCCCAGGTTATGCTTTTTAAAAATAAAAAAATCCTGATGTGGCTTACAGTAAGGTTGATGCCAGTATACTTGTGTTTAGTCTGGGCTGACTCGAGAAACAAATCCAGACACTCATATGTGTATAAGAAAGAGCTTTATATCAAAGAGCAATTGTGTATTGAGAAAACATCCCAGCCCAGTCCAGATCAAGACCATAAATCTGATATTAGCCCATATGCCCAGTACTAGTCAATAAATTCCTCTTCAGACTCATGCAACACATACAATGATGCTGAATGCAGGAAGATCACAGGGCGGTTGGTGGAAAATCTTGTGGATCCAGTGGCGGTGGAAGCATCTCCCGGGCTCTGGCTGCCATCCGTGTGGCTCCATGTGGCTTGTCAAAGGGAAGGTGAAGCAGAGAGAGTGTGTCCCGCCTCCAGGGAGGAAGAGAGGGAGTTCCCAGAATCCTCATGATTAGGCCACTCTGACAAAGAGACAGCTTCAGTCTGTGACCTGACTGGCAGGCTAGACTCCACCCCTTCACTCTTTTATCAAGTTGACATGAAATTGTGTAACTACCACATTATTATTTCCCACATTCCTAACATTCTCAAGTTCCTTCAAATTCTGGGCCTATCAATATTGACTGAATGAATTAAAACACAATTCGTAAAATAAGATCTTATGTCAGGAATAGGGCAAAATTAATAATGATGCTGTCACAGCTCATTCAGTCTCTTGGGAAAACCACATGTGATTCTGATGCATTTAAATGTAGGTTCTAAAGGACCCACAGTGCTGTATTTCAAATGTTAGGTGTATCAGAAGATGGATCCTGGACCATATTTGGTGCTGTTGTTTGGAAGACTCCCTTCCTCTTACAACTTATTTCCTAAAATAAGTACATACGAGTTCTGCAATAAGAAGAAGACAAAATGTATCCTTTAAAAAGTTCTCGACTCGGCCCTCCTTTTCTTGGCGGGAGCCAGGCGTGCAGTCCCGCCCGGTCCCCGTTATGTACGGAGGCAGCGGAAGCGGGCTCCGGCCCCCTCGGCGTCATGTCTTCGGTGCCGGCGGCTGCCCATCCGTTGGTTCTATCCTCAGACGCCGGGACAAGACCCCGGGAGGGCAGGCCGGGAATGAGGCTCCTCTCCGGGCTGCTCACTGCGTCTTCTTTGGTTTCAGGGTTCTGAACGCCGCCTCGAGCGGAAGCTGCTCCGCCCCCCCCATGTCTCGCCGTTGCTATCAATAAAGACTTCGAGCCGTTAAAAAAAAAAAAAAAAAAGTTCTCGACTCTATCCCACATGTTCAAATTCATTTCACTGATTTTTCAGTTCCATTCCCTGAACTCAGGAATGGGATGGGATTTAAAATGGCAGTGAAGAACCTCTCACGCTTGTGAATCACCAAGCGGGACATGTAACTAGAACATGAAGGAAGGCAGCTCAGGTCAGATGAGGCTGTGAGGGAGGCGAGCTGTGTCTTTGATCTAGATGCTCAGATGACCTTGCCTTCAAGCTCGTTCAGGCTTATGTCACACTAAAACCAGTTCCCATTGAATCTTCACCTCACGGCAACCCTACATGTGCCAGGGTAGAACCCTGCTCCATAAAGTTTTAAATGACTGCTTTTGGGAAGTAGAATGCCAGTCCTTTCTTCTGAGGTGCTTCTATATAAATCAAACTGCCCATATGTTGGTTAGCAGTCAAGTGCATTAATCATTTGCACAGCCAGGGACTAAGGGCAAATCAGTGATCTGAGAAGCTGGACTATATGGAGAAGAACTTGGCATCAGCATTGGAGGAAGCTTCATTAATAACCTGTGATATGCAGATGACATGACCTTGCCTGCTGAAAGCCAGGAGGACTAAACGCAATTACTGGGGATGATCAAGAATAGACTTCAGCAGGGACGACAACTCACAGTAAAGAAGATAAAAATTCTCAAAACTGGAACAATGGACAACACCATCATGAATGGAGAAAAGATTGAAGTTATCCAGGATTTCATATTACTTGGATCTACAATCCATCCTTATGAGATCAGCAATCGAGAACTCAACCGTATTGCATTGTGCAAATCTGCTGTACAAGATCTATATAAGGTACTAAAGAGCAAAGGTGCCACCTGGAAGACGGACGTGTGTCTGTGCCACACCACAGTGCACACAGTCATCTCACGTTCAGGTGACAACTGCACAGTGCATAAGGAAGACCAGATAAGAACTGATAATAGAGTGGAATTGGGCATTTAGGGAAGAATATTGACCGTGCCATGAGCGGCGAGAACAGGCAAATCTCTCAAGAAGGAAGTGCAGTCATCCGGCTCCTTCGAAGACAAGATAGCAAGCATTCATATCACCTACTGTGAACATGGTATCAGGAGAAATCAGTCCTTGAAAAAAGATGCCATGCTTGGCAAACGAGAGTGTCAGTGACAAGGGAAAGACCCTCTGTAAGACGGAGTGATCCCATGATCTACCGACAACCTGCTCCCTGGGGGTGGACAACAGAAAAGTGGGTGAAGGGAGACACCGGTCATTGTAAGACATGACAAAACAACAACACTGTATAAATTATCAAGGGTTCATGAGGGAGGGAGGGGGAGGGAAGGGAAAAAATGAGGAGCTGATACCAACAGCTCAAGGAGAAAGCAAATGTTTTGAAAATGATGATGTCAACAAATGTACAGACGTGCTTGACACAATGGATGGATGGATGGGTTGAGATAAGAGTTGTACGAGCCCCAATACAATGATTAAACACAAAAAAGACGAAGTGATCCAGTGGCTGCCCCAATGGGGTTAACTCCAACAGCAATGCGACGATGGCTCAGGATCCGGCAAATATTTGTGCTCTCGCATCTCGCGTCTCTGTGAATTAGGAGCGACGGGCTGGCACCTAACCCCCACACCAACAGGGAGTATGGAAGCTCTGATGGCCCAGAGGGAACCGAGGTGCCTTTTCTGGCCAACGCATCTCAGCAAAGCCACCAACTTCTGTCAATGGAGGCTTGCATAGTGCCACAATGCTGAGCAGGGTTAGGTGGAGAGGACCGGTTTAGACAGAAAAGGCAGAAAGCCCTGCTGGCCTCCTTCTAGAAGACAGTGAAGACCCTATGGGTCACACCCATCTAAGCGCACTTGGAAACAGACACTGCAGGCCTGCTCCATGACCTCTCCTGGGGAAGGTGCCCGATTGGGTGGCATTTTGTTCTTCTGGGCATCCGGTCAGGGTCAACCTTACAGCACTTTACAACAGCAGCATCAGACTTAATTTTTGACTGCTGCCTAATAAAGTAGTAAGGCTTTTGTGGCTTAAAACAACACACATACTTATCACACAGTTTCCAAGGGCTGCTGCTCCCAGGCTGCGATCTGGGTATTGGCTCAGTAGCCTTCTCATGTGGAGACTCAACTAGAGAACATTTGCTTCCAAGCTCAGTCAGGTGGCTGGGTATGCATTTCTTTCTGCTGCATGACAGAGGCCCTGGCTTCTTCCTCAGCTGCAGGAGACGCTGGGTTTTCCCGGGACATGGCTTTCTCCTCAGGGGATTCACAGTGTGATTGTTTGCTTCTTTAAAACCAGCAGGTCGAGACTTTCTCTAGTTGGATAAACTATAATGAAACCTCCCCAAGAAGCTGACATACCATCAACCCTTTGCACATGGTATAGGCTAGCACAGCAGTTTTCAACCTGTGGGACATGACCCCTCTCACAGGTATTGTCTGATTCATAAAACAGTACGAAAATGACACTTATGATGTAGCAACGAAAATAATGTTATGGTTGGGGGGTCACCACGACATGAGGAACTGTATTAAAGGGTCGCTGCATGAGGCAGGTGGAGAACCCTGGGCTAGAAGCAAGCCACAGCCCTGCCCCTATTTTGAAGGGCAGTAAGGAGCCATCAAACTGGGAGGTGGAGGTCATCCGGGATTCTGTCTATGCGGAAGCATAGCACACCGAGAAGACTCCCAGAAATAGTCTTCAGACCTTTTCAGGTAGTGATTCCTCTCTCAGATAACAGAAAGATGGAAACACCTCACCTACAAAAAGACACAGCAACACGTTGGGTGCAGTGTAGCATCAATGAAACACACAACTTTCCTCTAGTTCTTGAATACTTCCTCCCCACCCCACCACAGGCACTATCGTGATCCCAATTCTACCTTACAAATCTGGCTAGACCAGAGGATGTACACTGGTACAGATAGGAACTGGAAACACAGGGAATCCAGGGTGGATGATCCCTTCAGGACCAATGGTGTGAGTGGCAATGCAGGGAGGGGGGAGAGAGGGTAGGGTAGAAAGGGGGAACCGATTACAAGGATCTACATATAACCTCCTCCCTGGGGGATGGAGAACAGAAAAGTGGGTCAAGGGAGATGTCGGACAGTGAAAGATATGACAAAATAATAATAATTAATACATTATCAAGGGTTCATGAGGGAGGGGGTAGTAGGGAGGGTAAAAAATGAGGAGCTGATACCAAGGGCTCAAATAGAAAGCAAATGTTTTGAGAATGAGGGCAACAAATGTACAAATGTGCTTGACACAATGGATGTATATATGGATTGATAAGAGTTGTACAAGCCCCCAATAAAATGATTTAAATTTTAAAAAAAGAAAGAAAGAAATACTCTGGACCACTCTGTTAGTGGTGGCGATTCAGATGTCTGTAATACAACATTAGCATTTCTTCTTTTTTTTCTTTAAAATTGTGTAATGGTTCTGATGAGCCACTCAGCACTTCGTAAGCCTTCAAAGGCCTGCTTCCATCTTCATCTGACGCCTCTCCTAATTACCCCGAATGAGGAACTTCACAGATTTCTAAATACTACCACACAGGTTAGTCTCTGAGTTCTCTTTCATACCTTTTGGTTTCAACCTTACAACCAAACTGTTCATTCTTATAGGCTAGACTTCTTATTGAATCCTAGTATTAAGCAAATTGATGGATATATCACAGGCATATAATTTAATTTCATTAATTGGTTCAATAGAACCGAGAAGGAACACGGTTATTTCATTTCCATGCCTCTACTTCACTTGGAGGAAGAAAACGTTTGCTTCCGAGGCTAATATTCTAGGGGTAGTCTTGTTAGCTAGACAGAACCCGGCAGAGGAAAAACATGGAGCATGGAAGGAATTTCTAGCACAAAAGGGAAGGAGAGGCAGCCTTTCCCTGTACATGCCTCCAGCCTAAGGGAAACTAAGAGGTGGATATGATACATTGCCTTATCAATGGAAGAGATAGAGCCGTGAAAGGGTAAGGTTGCTCAAGACACCCTGACAATGGCTGACTTGATTCTTGGTTTCCACATCTGATGGCCAGGATACAGCATGAATTCTGCCACGATCAACTTGGAAAGGGCAGGCAGGCCATGGGAAGGCAGCCAATGGTTGAAAACATGCCAGAAAGCCGCCAGTGATGGTAGGCCCACCATTAGCCGGAGGAAACACTGACTGGCCACCCCCATCGCACCCTCACATGAGCAGCGAGGGCCCTTTCGCGCTTCCTATGGAAGTACCACCTTAATAAACTCGTCATTCTGCCAAGACCTTTTCTCGCTGACTCTGCTCCGAATACTATTCCTAGTCTTATTACTTTCTTGTGAGCCAAAATGATCAAGGGCTGAGAGGACTGAAACGCGGAACCTCCTCCTAGTAATGCCATGGAATAGCGGAGTGCTGTGAAACCTTAGGTTCCCATGGATGAACGACTTATTTTTTTTCCTCATGCATGTTCTTTCTTGTACTGTCATGACCGCAATTATATTTAATTTGACTCCTTTACTTTGCTGCACTCTAAACACAATTATCCACGCAAGCCTTTACTTCACGTGCTAGTTATACATTTTATATTTTCAATTTCACATGAAAAAATTTTATTGAAATTAAGTATTGGCCATGTACAACCACAATGATTTCTTATCTCATCACTAACACTCATACATCTTTCAGGGGATTCCTTGAACAGGGCAGGACATTTCTAGTGTCAGAAAACTGTTTCTACTTCTTGTGTACCTTGCCCTGTGTGGCCTAAGGTATAAGGCAGGAATAATAAGATGAACTAATGTGTATTATTAATGACCATATTCCAAGTTAAATTTTA